AGGATCTCGGCCTTTCGGTTTAAGCAAAAACTTCAAACTCTTCTTTTGTACTTCATCTTTTGGTTTTAGAAGTTGTTGAACGTCCTTTAAGGGTACCACTTGTTTAGCGACTGTCTTCTTCTCTTGAGTGTTAGCAAACACTCTCTTTGGTTATGGATAGCAAGCTTTCTTTGGCTTAGCTTTTGGATAAGACCTCGTTGCTAGAATCCATCTCCTTGGCTTGGGGTTTGAATCGATCTTCACATAGTATTGTTTGTTGGCTTCAACATCCTTCACAAACTCTTCATACATGATCTTCTTGATGTCTTCCCAAGAATAGGCTGGTTCATCAAAGTCCATTCGCATGTAATCTTCCCTTTCCCAATGCCTAAACGCATCCTCCGTGAGAGTTTCTTCCGCATAAGTCATCTTCTCCTCCTCAAGGACTTGGTTAGACTGAAACCAATTATCCATGTCTTGTTCCCACCTTGTGTAGGCTTCTAGTCCTTGGCTATGGCCTGAGAATGAGATGTATAGTTGTTCTGGTTCCTCCTCTTCAATCTCTATTTCATTACCAAAGCTATCTTCTGGTTCAGATTCATGGCTCCATAACTCATCATCAATAGTAGCAGTCTCTTCTAGACTGATTTTAGAGTCGCCTTTCTCACACCATGGCTTCTACTCATTGTACGAATCCTTGTATTGATAAGGTTCTTCTTCTGGATTGATCCCTTTGTGTTCTGGTTCTTCTTTGTTGAATTCTTCTTCTAAACTGATTTCAGAATCAATCTCTTCATGCCATGAGTCTCTTTCACTGCCTTCTCTCACACATTCTTCTTGGTCGGTTTCTTCTTCTTTGGACCAAATATGTTGGCTTGTGTCGTCTTGGCTATAATCTGGTGGTCCTGGCTCAAACTCTTCACCCTGTGGTTTATCTTCAAAATCAAAGTCTAAGTACTCATCTTCATACCACAAATCACGTTTTTGGTCATCTTCTTCTTCTATTTTTTCTTCACATGAGCGGTTTATCTCCATGGCTTCATGTTCTGATTCTTCTTCCAAACTGATTTCAGAGTTAGTTTCTCCAGGCCATGATTCTTCTACACGCTCATTTTCTCCTTTGAAACTGATTTCAGAATTAGTTTCGCCACTCCATGGTTCATTCAAATAGTCACCTTCTCTTTCCCACGAGTAGTGGCTTGACTCATCTCCCCACTCTATCTCAGAACTAAGGAATTCACTTTTCTCATCTTCTTCATACTCCATAGCTTGTTTTGGTGAAGATCGTACCTTGCAAAAAGAAACAAATAAAACAAACAGAAAATTCAATCTTGATCGTCCGAGATATTTGCACAAGATAAGGAAATTTGAGAATTTTGTATGCAACAAAAATAGGAAACAACTTTTTGGCAATTTCAAACAAAGTAAGTAATTAAGTTGTTATCTGATTTTCAAAGTTTATGGAAACAAAAAAAACATTCGAAAAAAAACAAAGGAACAAAACTTTTTATTTGGTTTTCTAATTTTATAAAATATGAGAAATAATGCAAAAATTCAAAATAATAGGAAATCAACAAAAATAAATATTTTTATGGCTTTTCTTTTAATGAAACAAATTAAACAAAGATGAAAACAATGATTTTTTTTCTTATCTTTTAATTTATAAATGCGGAAACAAATAGAACAAAATAACTTTTATGGATTTTCTTAATTCAATTAAAAGAAAACAGAATCAAAAACAGTTTTTTATGGATTTTTTTTATTTGGAAATGAAACAAAAATAAAAAACAGAATTAAAAAGAGATAGGTTGGATTGATACAACCTTGTATTGAACAAGAAGAGTACTTAAGGATGACTAAACATTAACCATTCCTTAAGTTACTTGTTTTCCTCTATTTAGGCATTCAACATAGGAGGAAAACATTTATCAAGATGTGCATATCTCGGGTTATGTACGGATGTACGGACAAGTACACATCCGTATCAAAGTACAATCCGTACATGTACAAATAAAGAAGGACATGAGAAATCAGATGACTGTGCAAATAAAGGGAGATAAAGAGATATTATTGTGTTGGTATGATATGAACGTTATTGGATCTGATCCAAGAGGANGGACAAGTCACATGCNGTCNTCACCCATCACTTTCAAGACNAGAAGACAAGAGACAACTTATCTTCATGTCACTTTCACTCCAAACGGCTATATGCCTTGTTTTTCCTTTATATATGTTGTATCAATCTGATTTCAAGTTAATCTAATAAGAGAAATAAGAAAAAGACATCTGATTCAAGTTCTTTCCTTTTTTCTTCATGTTCTTCATTCAAATACTCTAAGATCAGATTAATAATGTAGTTCTAGAGGGTAAAACACGTTCTGGGTTTGATCCCTTTGGATCAAAGCCCATTCTATACACAAATCTCTCTTTTACTCTCTTAAACACTCTCTTAAACTACAATCTGTTCTTGTGTTGATTCAATCCATCTTTTGATTGTTTCTTCTCTTCTTAGTGAGCTTAGACTCACATATTCTAACATGGTATCAGAGCATAAGCTCTTGGTTCATGAAATCCGCTGCTGTTAATGAAGANAAGCTAAAAGCTCTCAGATTTGGTTGTTGGAAAGCTCACGGTTTAAAGGAAGAACATGGGATTATGGGTTCTGTCCTACCTTTGAAGCTTATGAACGCTAAAGTCTCAAGATTAAGGCTTTAAGAAAGCTAGGTCTGAGCATGGTTGAAGAGTAAACCGAGTAAAGCTCTCGGATTTACTAGTTGGAAGCTTATGGGCGTGAAAAGGATAAGTCAAGGAGATTTTGAATCTTCTTCCCCATGAAGCTCAAGGATGTTGAATACTCTCTAGACATCATGAGGAGGCTGCTAGATGAAGGAAAGAACGTGGGGAAAGGAAGAGAAGAAAATAGATGCTCTCATAACCGAGGAGAACACAAGGGATGCTCTCGGATGCTCTCAAATGGAAGCTCTCGGGAACAAGATCACAAAGATGGTCACTTTCTTCACCGTTGATGCTAAAATTGGTTACATCTAATCTCTAAACTCTTACCTTAATTGTTGGAATGTTGAATCCAACTTCTAGTTAGGAGAGACTCATCCC